GAAAGAAAGAAAGAAAGAAAGAAAGAAAGAAAGAAAGAAAGAAAGAAGGAAGGAAGGAAAGAGAGAGAGAGAGAAAGGAAGGAAGGAAGAAAGGAAGGAAGGAAGGAAGGAAGGAAGGAAGGAAGGAAAAAAGGAAGGGAAAAAAAGCAAGAAAGAAATGTGTTTCCTAAAGGTTTACACCTAGTATGGCAGTCTATGTAGAAAATCCTAAGAAAGCCTACAAAAAACACTCCTAAAAATAATGACTGTGTTCAGCAGGGTCCAAGAATACCAAGTCAGCCTCCAAAAGCAATAGTATTCCTATAGAGTAGCAATGAACACATAGACACAAAAATTTAAAATGTGGCGCCATTAATTATTATTTAATGTATTTATTTGCATCTAAAATCTTAACAGTATCTGTGGCTGAAATCATAAAATGGAAGAAGTCAAAGGGCTCCTTAGTCGTTCCCTATGTCCAATGAAATTTCTAACAAACACTCAGCAAGGTTATCTCTGAATACAAACAAAGCTTATTTTAAAATTTACAGGCAGGGGCTGGCAGCAAGATCACTTGGTGGATAGAAGTGTTTGTTGCCAAACCTGTTTACCAACTCACAATGGCTGTGACTGTATGCACAAGACATGCACAGCATCAAGACAGCCAAGGTCCCTGTATGAATGAAGGAAGTTCTTATGAATTCCTACCCTAACTCAAGAGTCCTTGGCAATTGATGACTGCTAGGGGAGAGAGGGTCAGTTACAGTCACGGCTGTGGCCTCTAAGAGGCTATACATGCTCCAACAGATGGTATCATATCCACTCATAAGGTGGATTCCAGGGGCTTTAACAGAAGAGCACATGAGACTGGGAGGAAAAGGTGGTGGTGGGGATGGAAGAGGAAGTGGTAAGAAGGGAATACATATAATTCATGTGAGGGATTCTCAAACAACAGAAAAACAAAATAAATAGTGGCATAGGTGTTTAGGAGGGAGAAACAGAAGAGTTACAGCAAGTTATAAGCCATCCTAGTCCCTATAGCAAGGCCTTGAAGAGACAGAGGGCTGGAGAGAGAACAAGAGATAAATGACTAATAAATATATAAAAAATGCTAAATATTTTATTAGCCATCAAGAAAATGCAAGCTAAACCTGCAATGATATTTTATCATGCTGATCAGAATAACCAGGATATAGAATCAACTTACATGCTCATCAACAGATTGAATGATGAAAGTATAACATACATAAGACACATTGATCAGCCATAAAGAATGAAATCATGTTGTTTAAAGAAAAAAATTATTAACCTAGAAATCATTTAAAGTAAACTAGACTCAGAAAGAAAATAATAAATAAACCCACATCTTCTGCTCTAATTCCTAACTTTCTATTCATAACTCCTAAAAAGAGAATACCTTAATAGTGTCTTTGATTTGTTTGTATTTGTCAGATTAAATCTTCTGTTGGATTTGTGACTGAACTAAAGTCATTATTATTTAAAGTTGAGCAAGTTCCAGGACAGCTAAGGCTATAAAGAGAAATCCTGTCTCAAAAGACAAAAACAGAAAATAAAATAAATAAAATAAAATACAGAGAAGTAGGTGCCGTTGATTCAACTGGGTCTATTTGATGTCCATCTGTAATCAATAGCCCACGTGCATTTACTCTTTTATTGGAAGTGTGCACACAGTTCCTCACATTACAAATACATAGCGTCTCACTTGCTTCAAAGCCTCTTGTGTTCACACATGCAAGAGCTAGCATAGCCTTGGTACCAGTAGAGTTAAGACAATCTTAGGAGGTGATCTCTCTCTTTTTTTTTATGAGAAATTCTTAGTTACTCTAAAAAAAATAAATAGAAATATGTGTGGTTAAATCCTATGTTAAAGGTAAGTCGGTAGTGGCAAGCACGAAGGAAAACAGGAAAATGTCATTAAACCAGGGAAATTACAATACTAGAAACATACTATGAAAGTATGAGATGTTTCCTGTAAGTTTTTAGAGTAAAAAAATAAAAGACTACCAGCATTTAGGTAAGAGATGGAATGATTCCATTAAAGAAATCATTTTTAATTTTCCCACCTTATGTTTGTAGAATACATCCTTTCTGTTTCTTTCTTCGTTCTATCAATCCCTGTGTTGAACCTAAAGAGTTAATTCTACATTGCTGTTTTGGATTCCTGTCTTGTTTCTATTGTGTATGAAGTCACATTCCCATTCCTAGGATAGCACAGAAAGTATCAGCTGGTGTCATTAGATTTTGTTCTTTCTTGTGGATAGCCTGTCTCTATCCAGAAAACCTCCTGCATATAAAGCCTGCTGTCTGTTCCCCTGGTAGCATGGGTTGAGAAAAAGAAGAGTATTTGGCTCCAGTGACCACAGATGCCAGAAATGAGCTGAAGAAAACATTGGTTCAAATACTGCCGCATATGAGTGTTAGGCTTTAAGAGAAGAACTGGGAACACTAAGATATACATTATGTTCCTGGAACTTGGGATCGATATTGTAAAAGCAGGGTGAGGGAAGTCGACAGTTCTGAGAAAACTTACTGCAGAATGGGAAAACAGGAGATAAGAAACATGGGAGACTTGTGAGGCCAGCTGTGGGGCTGCGAATTGAGGCGTCGTAAGAAGATAGATGGGTAGAGCTTAAGGCATGCCATGGAAGCTGGCTGCTTGCAAGTTCTAGGTGGGATGGAAGAAGTCATAGGAAAAAGGGCAAGAGACCATTCTTCCTTCCCAGAATTGATACAT